TTGGGTCATGAAATGTCTGCAAGAAAGCCACCAAGCTCAGAGAGCTCCAAGGATCCCACAGTCCTCCTCCTCCTCCTCCTCCTCTCACTGATAATGTTACCTGGCTAGGTAACGAAATGTCTGCAAGAAAACCATCAAGCTCAGAGAGCACCAAGGACCCCACCGTTCAACACCTGGGCACAAATAGTCTCCTTTACTGATATCCAGGCACTCTGCAAACGTCTAACTTAGTTGACTGCACAATTGTTAACACGCATATGACATTCTGTGTTTTTTCTCCCCTTCTGTGGGCCTTGCTGTCCCCCCACATTCTTTTGGCCATCTTCTTCGTGGTCCAATCTTTCTGGGATTCTCCAAGGAGACTCTCTTCTCTGGGTATCTCCCCAACGAGGAGGCACCCGTGGGCTCCTCTTGGCTATGAACCGGTCACCTGGTGACCATTCAGGACCAGTCCTCACACTTACGGCCACGGTTACAGCCTACCCTTCGTCACGGGATCAAAACTCGGGCCCCCTGGCGACTGGCATGCATTGATGACAGTGGCGGAATCCCGGGGGCTCATCCGATTGTCATTTCCAACCTTCCAAGCCAGTTTTTGACAAGCAAAGTCAGTGGGGGGAAATCAGATTTGCTTAGTGATGGTGTGATTCACTTAAAGACTGCAGTGATTTTCTTGACAACTGTGGCCCCCCAAAAAACTTGTAAAATTGGGCGTGGCTTGCTTAACCATCCAGGAACGGAAATTTCCATCCTAGTTGTGATTATAAGTTGAGGTCCATCTGCCGTAGCCCATTCCCCCTTGTTTCTTTGGATTCGGGACCTAAGGCTGGAGAAAGACACAGTGATGGGGCCACGGGGCCAATACTTAGGGCTAACCCTTGTAGGACACCTTGCCCGTTGCGTGTGGGTGGGGGAAGAGAAGCCATATTTGATTGCAACGTCCCCCGATGTTCACCAGGTGCAGCAAGATCTGGGAGGTCCATCATGCTGGCTGGGTGCTGATTGTGTCTCCTCCCACATGGGGGTCTTCCTTCTGGAAGGACTGTGTGAATAGGCACGAAATAGGTTTGTGTGTGTTCCAGTGCTCATTCCACATCTGTTATGACGTCTGCTTGCCTAAGAATTGAACAACAAATGCAGAACAAGGGGTTTGGTGAAGAGGCAACTTTCGGGTTTATCGTTGTGGCTGGATTTGAGGGAAAAGTTTAGAATAGAATAGAATAGAATAGAATAGAATAGAATAGAATAGAATTAAGGAATTAGAATAGAATAGAATAGAATAGAATAGAATAGAATAGAATAGAATAGAATAGAATAGAATAGAATTAAGGAATAGAATAGAATAGAAAAGAAATATAGAATAGAATAGAATAGAATAGAATAGAATAGAATAGAATAGAATAGAATAGAATAGAATAGAATTAAGGAATTAGAATAGAATAGAATAGAATAGAATAGAATAGAATATGAAATAGAATAGAATATGAAATAGAATATAGAATAGGATGGAAATGAATGGAATGATATGGAATAGAACAGAAGATGGAATAGAATAGAATAGAATAGAATATAGAATAGAAAATAGAATAGAAAATAGAACAGAACAGAACAGAATAGAAAATAGAATAGAATATAGAATATAGGATAGAATAGAAAAAGAATAGAATAGAATAGAAAAAGAATAGAATAGAATAGAATAGAATAGAAAATAGAATAGAAAATAGAATAGAAAAAAAAGAATAGAAAATAGAATAGAATATAGAATAGAATAGAAAAAGAAAAGAATAGAATAGAATAGAAAATAGAATAGAGAAAGAATAGAAAATAGAATAGAATAGAATAGAATATGGAATGGAATAGAATAGAGAATAGAATAGAGAATAGAATAGAATAAAATAGAGAACAGAATAGAGAATAGAATATAGAATATAGAATATAGAATATAGAATATAGAATATAGAATAGAATAGAATAGAATAGAATAGACTTTGGAGGTCATCTAGTCCACCCTTCCCCAACCAAGCAGGAGACCCTACACCATTTTTGACAGATGGCTGTCCAGTCTCTCCTTGAAAGCTTCCAGCGATGAAGCTCCCACAACCTCTGAAGGCAAGCTGCTGTTCCCTTCGTTGGTTGGTTGTTCTCCTTCTCCTGCTACCCCAGCCCGTCCTTCAAACATTTTAATTAAATACTTCTCGTCCAGCTACTAGTCTAATCAATCTTCCCGGAGTTATAAAACCCTGACTGGGCAGCGCCCGAGTCTCCCTCCCTTCATCCTTTAGATTTGCATGAACGTTGCCTCATTTGGTGTGCGCTGTGCACACTCCCAGGAAAACACGGCTCCTCTCTAGAGCCACCGTCCCCAGGGAGTGTTTATGAACATTGTGCGCGACACAGCGGCATCAGCCGCCTGCGGGCCAAAGAAAAGACTTGGTTCCAGCCACCGACAAAAATCGTCTTAACTAATCCCGGCGTGCACTGGAAATGGGCTGCCTCCTTCCCCAGTGCCAAACAAAACATATTCC